CGGGGAGCAGTTGGGGGTTCGGTGCCTTGCTCAAGGGCACCTCAGTCGTGGTATTGAAGGTGGGAGAAAGCGCTGTACATTCACTCCCCCCACCTACAATCCCTGCCGGTACAAGACTCGAACCCACAACCTTTGGGTTACGAGTCCTACTCTCTAACCATTAGGTCATTTTTTTTTCATGGATCTTGCGGTCCATGACGGCAAAAACCCCCTCAAAATCTGGCAACACACAGGCTTCCGATGACAGACTCACAGGTGGAGTTATTTATCTAGTTTTTTCCTGTCAGTGGTTGGTGGCAGCTGCCAGTGGCAAGTCACGTGACCTGTCAGTGGTTGGTGGCAGCTGCCAGTGGCAAGTCACGTGACCTGTCAGTGGTTGGTGGCAGCTGCCAGTGGCAAGTCACGTGACCTGTCAGTGGTTGGTGGCAGCTGCCAGTGGCAAGTCACGTGACCTGTCAGTGGTTGGCTGGCTGGCAGCTGGCAGTATGCCTTAACAAGATCCACTGGCGGATCAGTCAGACAGCTGCAAGAGCGCTCCGAGTTTAACGCGTTCTCTACCACTCTCTCTACAAGGAAATATATTATTTTATGATTATTTATATATTCTTATGGGTCTAGTCTTTTAATTTGTCGACATTTTATAGAGGCTTATTACAAATAAAGTGCCCAAATGGCCGTGATCCCAACTGCCAGCTGATTGTCGCTTCCCTGCCTCAGCCTACATAGGACAAGCGGTCTGGAAAATGGATGAATGCCATCACATACAATACAATAAAAAATACACAGCACAATACAGTACAGTAAACATACGGAGTGTGTAATGTTGTAGGTGAAAAGTGAACTGTAGTGAGCAGAATGAACAGCGAGATTGATTTACCATTTGAGATCGAGTACAGCAGGAGTGTCTATCCGCTGAGTCTCAGTCAGTGGAGGGATGAACGATGGTTGCGGATTACAGTCAAACAGATAAAGTCGACCGATTCTGCTCGGGGCAGAGTCTTCTGCGGTTTGCTGCAAACAGAATACAGCGTTTCAATTGAGAATTGAGCAGTTGATACCACACAATACCATAAACTAAAGCCGAAAAATATTTTGCGTTACCTTATCATCGCCTTTTTGAAGTTGGTAAGTCCCACATGCCAGAACGTGAGACCACTGTGGTAATGGACACCACTCCACGGTATCAGCGCTTAACTCCGTGTCAAACACTTGCAGGGTTCGGGTTCGAGACTGCCAACCCATTTAAGCGGCTCGGCATAACATGAAGCAACTTAGAATGGATAATCACAGTAGCTGACGAAGAAATAACTGTACGTGTACTGTCAGTCTGTGACCCCTACATGCATGCAGCACTAGACCAGCTGTCATTGCATATTTTATTTACATTTTTAAATTGATATAATTTTTATTTTAAATGAATGGTGTATATATTATAACTTAGTGTAAAATATGAGTTTCCAGGTTATAAACATTTTCGTGAAACTGCGCCTTTTATCGTTTTTACGAGGTAAACAGGACGTGAATGGCACAACAACTTCCGGGTGGCTGAAGTCTGCCTGGCTGAGCGTTTAAATCGCGCCCTTGTTGTTTATGATGAGCAGTTCCTGACTGAGAAGCATGCTGTTTTCAATTCCTATGTCATTTTACGTTAAATCAGAATGGAACAAAACAACTCCGAGTCCAAATCTGTCCTTTGCACATTGCTGGATAAAAACGATCAGTCCAAGTATGTGTTTTTTACGCAAAAGCGATCAGCAGGAGACATAAGTATTGGGTGAGTTAACACGAAATGTCAACAGTAACAACACTAAATTACAAACTCTTCAGTTGACTACAACATTTGTCATGATGATAATAATAACAATAAATAATATTATTTATAGTTGTATGTATCGTGATTGTTTATATCTCTATATATCATGATGTCCTATATCCTGTAGATTTACCAATGGTGAAGATGTTTGGAAAACATATCTTTCAGAGGAGAATCTGTCTCAGCTTGTAAGGAGTTTTTTTAAATAGTCTTTCTATATGACAGATAACAATAATACAATGCTTTTGTTTCTTTATAGTTTAAGAAATTTTCATTAAAATCCACAGAGGATTATACCTTCAAACTCAAGTGAGTTGCAACTTGAGCAATTAATAAATCAATAATCTGATTTCTTGATTGACAAGATCGTGTGTCCTCTCTGAGAACCGTCTCTTGTGTATGTGGACAGATGTGCGTGCAAAGCTGGCAGAGCATTTGTGAAGCTGCAGGAGGACAGTGCTGTGCTGCATTTAGGAGCGGAGCCCACAGACCTCAGTCTGTCGCTGCCAAAACTCACCGACTCCGAGGGAAAGACAGAAGTCAAGGATCTGCTTTTTAAAATGGCAGACAGCCTGCAACAGCTAGAAAGTCAAGGCCAGCAAAGATGTTTTCAATTATTATACTCGCTAATTTTCAAAATAATAAAACCCTGCTTTGCTAAATGTTCACTGTTTTATCATTTTTAGGGTCTACATACTCATTTAGTCCAGTCAAGAGCCCTCAGAAGAGGAGTGCTGGTAAGTTAAGGCAGCACCTTTTAAGCTTGATAGTTGTCAAATGGATTTAAATCACTAGTTGAAACATCCAGGGGGCCTAATAAGTCTTAATTATTTTGTTATATTAACATAATCTTAATTAAAATGCTAAAACCCCCTGACATTATATTTTTGAGGGCTTTTTTTTAAAGTTTATTTTATTACAGCAGAAGTACCAGCTGTGGCGCCTTTGCGCTTCGGGCGTCCCGAGTTCGAGTCCCGGCTCGTGGACCTTTACCGATCCCACCCCCCTCTCTCTCTCTCTCTCACCCACTTCGCTTCCTGTCAACCTACTGTCCTATCTAAATAAAAGGCATAAAACGCCAAAAATAAATCTTTAAAAAAAAAAAAAAAGTACCAGCTGTATACTGTATATCAGAACTACTTCTAATTGTCTAAGCTCATTTAAAATGAGTGATGACATGTTTTTGTTTTAGAATTTGAACCTAGGAAACAGCATAAGGGTCCAGTAGTAGCAGTTACCTACTGTCCTATCTAAATAAAAGGCATAAAACGCCAAAAATAAATCTTTAAAAAAAAAAAAAAAGTACCAGCTGTATACTGTATATCCGCTTCATATCAGAACTACTTCTAATTGTCTAAGCTCATTTAAAATGAGTGATGACATGTTTTTGTTTTAGAATTTGAACCTAGGAAACAGCATAAGGGTCCAGTAGTAGCAGTTCGAAAACGTCTTCCTGGGGATTCTCTCATCAACCCAGGAACAAAAAGGTATATATTTTTATGGACTTTACATTCCAAAATAAATAAACAAAAATCTGCCAACACCTTACAGAGGGTATTCTGCTTACTGACCATTTCGGTTTATTTTACAGAAAGAAACCTGCAACAGGTGTGGCCTTTGACGATGAATGATGTCAACACAACCACTGAATTTCATAAAAACATGAATTGTACCTTTTTAACCAACTCACTGTTTTTAAAATGTATCTCGCATACAAATCACAATATGAGCTGTTTTATGTCATGTATCCATTTTATCATGGTTTTATTTAATAACATTGCTAAATGATTTCTTTATATTTTTTCCCTTTGGATTGCGTTGCTAATAAAAATGGTATTTTTAAATAATTGTGTTCACTGAAAATGTTATTTTAATCAGTAAGCTTTAAAAAAAAAAAAATAATAATAATAAACAGTCAGAAAATCAATTTAACAATTTATTGATTTAATTATTCTCTTTTCTCCCTGTTAATATTAAAAACATCAGTTCACCCCAGTTAGCACAAGATTATGGAAACGATAAAAGTAATTGAAAACAAGCTGAAAAGGTCCAGTCAATCTTCTTACAAGGGAATCCACCTGAACATAGGTATTACTGGATGAAAAAAAAAACATTAATAAATATTGAATCTCATTCACATGTACTGAAGTTACATTCCAAAGCACTGACTAGAAAGATAAAACTAAATCACCCCCTTAACCATAATGCTATTTTATATGATACAGAACCACTTTCATGTTTGCTGGTGTCTTAAATCACTGCACTGTAAATTTCCAAAGTGAAAAGCAGCTTGCACTGATCTTTAGTTAGGCTGTTGAGGTTCTCCGTTAGCAGGAAATATATTTGGAAGTGGCCCAGTCGCCTTAATAATCAACGTGAGACTTTTGATCATTATGTAAATAAGTATCATTAGGTCAGTTTTCACATAGCTGGTCACAATTCATTTACACATGTCAAAAACCCAGAGGGCCTCCTTATCAGTCTTTGCTTTCCTCTCTTTGAGCTCAAAAATATCAATCATTCTTTTACGCAGCAATGTCAGAAAAATAAGACCATTATAGTACTAAGTGCCGAAGCACGGTTAGACTGTCACTGAGCGATAGGACCTAACCATCATGTACATCACTGACATGAAGGAGAAGCATCATTTCAAACAAACAATATAATTGACTAATTTCTGGTAAAAAAACTAAACATTTACACTCGTATTACATTACAGTGCAAACAACAAAGTCAAAACCTCCTGCTATTCAATAAACAATCCAAGGGTTCTCATTAATACAATAATCAAGAGCAATGACCTGATTTCTGTCTGTCTGCAATTACAGTGACTCAAAGTCCACCTTTGGCTTCACAGTGATAGCACGACAATTATTATGAATATTTCCACTGACATCTGGTGTAGGAGTTCTTTCAACTGGCATCTGGTATTATGCAGCTTTTAACCCTTAGCAATAATGCAACATAAATTTTCCACTGAGACAGACACCGATATCAATTACAATTAATTTCAGAATTCATTCAATCAAAGAAAAAAAGTGAGAAAGCCCTGGTTCAGGAGACAAAAGTCAGCTCTTATGTCGTTTACATTCACTTACAAGAACATAAACATCTCCGCAGCAGGGCTGGTTCAGTCCGGTTCCACTAAAGGCCTTTGAATCGGTCACAAGCCATTCACTATTGAATGTCCGATTTAAAAACTTAAATGGTGCACAGGTACATTTGCATTCTTCAACAAGAACAACATGTCTGTTCAAAACACGTAAGCATAGTAAAATTTCTTCAACCCACAACACAACAGGCTTGTCTTTTATAGCATGCTCTCAATGCAGGTACGAATAAACAAAGTAGGTCCGAGTAAAGAAAAAAAGATTGGTTTCAACTCAACGTGAGGATAAACAGTCGTAAAAAGAAGAAGTTGCAAAGGCTGAACCCATACGAGTCCTATTCCTTGAAGGATGATTATGTTACGACAGCAACACTACAATTAAAACGATTCAACATGTGATCAGTTTAAAGATAGTATGACCATATCTAAATTTCGAGCGATACCAAAATAAACCACACGGCCGGGTTGTATCTAAGAAATACATTCTCTTTAATTCCCATCCAGCAGGCTTGAATATAAAGTACAGTAATACATGATTCCATAAACCATCATCTCCGAAACACAGGAGGGGAGGCCGTGGTCGGAGTACCTCTCTGGCCCAATCAAGTTCAGGCACCGACTGTGTCCGCATCTCTGTTTAGAGTTCCCAGAAGAGCCGTTCTCTCCCTCTGCTACTGAAGTGCAAATGGAAACAAGAACAATCCACTCGCTGGGCCAGAGAGACGGATCCTCTCCGGCTAGAAAAAACACACAAATGTCTTTCACCATACAGACACGGGTCTGAACTTGAGGCTTGTTTTTTAACATCGCTCCGTCTGTGAGATGTTTCAGCACAGAGTGTCTGTATTAAAAGACAACTGCACCTGTGAGAAAGCAAAATGAAAATGATTAGAGAAAATATTTTAAATAATGTAGTTTAATAGTCTTGTAATAATTGCTGTTCTTTTGAACTTCTTATTCATCAAAGAATCCTGAAAGAAATGTATCACGGTTTCCACAAAAATATTAAACAGTTTCAACCGTGATAATAGAAAATATTTCTTTAGCACCAAATCATTATAATTAGAATGATTTGTTAAGGATGTTGGGAAATTGAAAACGGGAGTAACAGTTGAAAATTCAGCTTTGCCATCATTGAAATAAATTACATTTTAAAATATAATAAAATAGAAAACAGTTGTTTTAAATTGTAATATTTCATAATATTACTGATTTACTGTTATATATTTATTTTTAATCAAATAAAAGAAGCCTTAGTGAGGACAAGAAACTCCTTTCAAAAACATAAAAAAATCTCTAAAACCTTTGAACTGTAGTGTAGTATTTTTAGTATGTAGTATATATTTTTAAATGTTTAATAGGACTATCTTGCCCCATTTTTGTCTTCCATTGTTTTGCAAAAGTTCATGTTAACTTAAATTCTAATCCCATTTTTTATTCACTTTACTTTTTTTGACATTCCAGCGGCCACAGCCTGATTCTAAATCCATAAGAAGCTCACTTGATCTTTTTTTTTTAATAGAATAAAGCTTTCTAATAACAAATGTCTTTATAAATCTCAACCCAAGTGGGCTGGTATTAAGAGTAAGACTGTGCCAAGCTGATTTAATTGAATTATCTCATCAACTGAAATGTAGTTTTTATGTGCCTGTGTTCCAAGTCTTACCCTCTCTTCCTCAAAGCTGATCAGTCCTTCATCATCATCATCACTCTCAAGTTCTTCTGGCTCTTCACTTACGAGGGCGTTGAGTTCTGTGTTAGTGGGACGAGGCCTGAGGATGCTGAGCAGCCGCTGCAGTGGTGACTGACCAGCACTAGACGGGGAACTTTCTTGCTGTTCTAAATTATCACTTTGCTTTTTTGCAAAGTTGACAAAGACCTAAGAAAAGAACAGGCAAGAAGAAATGACTACTTTTCCTTGTTACAGTATGTAGGTTTTGGATTCATATTTCATAAATTTTGTTAATCTTTTGACCAACTGAATCATTAAACAGAATTTCAGCCAAGTAAACTAATGCCTATTTCACTTTCAATTATAACATTTTTCAAGTCACTGACGTATACTTACGTTGTCCAAAGTTGTCTGGCTGACAGAATAATCTTCGATGCTCAGCACCTCCACCACCTGCTCCATTTTGCTGAAGACCTGAGCCAGAGAGATGTTCTCTGACTTCAGCTGGTACTGAATCTTTGTGTGGTGCCGCTCCTTATGTGAAAGAATATGCAGAAGTTTACAATTTTTTACTGCAAGTGAAGCAAGCTCAAAATATACTCAACATGTACACTTAGTTTTGTCAGCACTGCACAAAAACACCTTACGAGAGCTTCTTCGTCTTATATATATATATATATACAGTGGGGCAAAAAAGTATTTAGTCAGCCACCAATTGTGCAAGTTCTCCCACTTAAAAAGATGAGAGAGGCCTGTAATTTTCATCATAGGTATACCTCAACTATGAGAGACAAAATGAGAAAAAAAAATCCAGAAAATCGCATTGTAGGATTTTTAAAGAATTAAACGTGGCTGGGTCTTTGAGCATGACAATGATCCCAAACACACCGCCTGGGCAACGAAGGAGTGGCTTCGTAAGAAGCATTTCAAGGTCCTGGAGTGGCCTAGCCAGTCTTCAGATCTCAACCCCATAGAAAATCTTTGGAGGGAGTTGAAAATCCATGGTGCCCAGCGACAGGCCCAAAACATTACTGCTCTAGAGGAGATCTGCATGGAGGAATGGGCCAAAATACCAGCAACAGTGTGTGAAGACTTACAGAAAACGTTTGACCTCTGTCATTGCCAACAAAGGGTATATAACAAAGTATTGAGATTAAATTTTGTTATTGACCAAATACTTATTTTCCACCATAATTTGCAAATAAATTCTTAAAATCCTACAATGTGATTTTCTGGATTTTTTTTCTCATTTTGTCTCTCATAGTTGAGGTATACCTATGATGAAAATTACAGGCCTCTCTCATCTTTTTAAGTGGGAGAACTTGCACAATTGGTGGCTGACTAAATACTTTTTTTCCCCACTGTATATATATATTATATATATTACAATCCAAACTGACAACATAGATGTACTTGTATACTACTGCCATCTGTTTTGGAGAAAGTTGAGCTGATGCACAGCAAATATGAAATATTTACATTTCCAGTCAAACTCTTGTCCTTAAACTTACCTTTAGGATGGCCTCTGGAAAATTCCTGTTGAAAAACCGTATCACTTCCTTGATGCTAGCCGTGGTCTTAGTTCGTACTGTTATCATGTATCCATCCCCAAATCTGAAAAAATATATAAAAAGAACAAGCAGTGAGTCGACATTTTAAAAGAACACTGCACTCCTGTGTCGCACATTTTAGTGGCTGAGACTTTTCAAACCTGTTTTTGAGATGCTGGATGCTACCCAGACACTTGAACCTGCCGTTAACCATGATGCCCAGTCTCGTACACAAGGCTTCACACTCCTCCATACTGCAAACAAATACATTAATATATTAGTGTTATTAAAAGTAAACAGAAAACAGAAAATACAATTTATATAGTTACCACACCTGTGTGATGTCAACACCACAGAGCGTTTTAACATGTGAATAAGAGTTTTATGCTTAATAAATTACCAATAGGGTAAAACAATCAGCTTAATTCAAAACATTCTATATATTCTGTCGAAAAATACTTTGTATTTTTAACACTGAAAAAATAATCAGTAGTGTTGTTAGCACAGCAACATATAGCAACATTTCCTAAATAAAACAAAATAGCATAATATAGCGCTTATTTATTAACATTTGTTGGAGGTTTATGCTTTAAGAATTACAAATTAGGTAAAAACTAATATATTTCAAGCTTTAATCTACATTCTGCCAAAATACTTAGTATTTTCAGCAATGAAAATTAATGAAGAGTCGTTAACAAAGCAACATGCTAACATCAAATCTTCCTTACAAAACATCAGTTAAAAATAATCTACTTAAAATTGTATAAAATGAGACTTGTCTAAATTAAGATTATTTTTCTTATTCTTTGGCAAAATGTTTTTGTCTTGTTTTAATATATAAACAAATTATTGGTTTATGCTTATAATATAACAAAGAAAAAAAAAAAAAAAAAAACTTAATTTTAAATATATTCTATATTCTGGCCAAAAAATAGAGAATGGTGAAGAAGAAGAAGGATTTAGAAATCTGTTAACAAATCAAAGGCGGTCTGAATGTAGCACCTGTGTCCCTGAATAAAGGCCTCTCCCACTGTTGTGCTCTCATCTCCTGTCAGCATTTTGAAGGTGGTGGTCTTTCCTGCCCCGTTCACTCCCAGCAGCCCGAAGCATTCCCCAGGACGGACCCCCAGACACAAACGGTCCACCGCCAGGATCCGGCCCATCTTGCGAGACTTGTACACCTGTGAGGAAACACAAGCTCTGAGGATCTTTTGAGGACAGAACGATGTGTTCAGGTCAGACAGACATGGTTAAGGGAAAGTTTTAAAGGGGTCATATGACGTTGCTAAAAAGAACATTATTTTGTGTTTTTGGTGTAATGAAATGTGTTTATGCGGTTTAAGGTTAAAAAACACATTATTTTCCACATACTGTACATTATTGTTTCTCCTCTATGCCCCGCCTTTCTGAAACACGTTGATTTTTACAAAGCTCATCGGTCTGAAAAGCGAGGTGTGCTGTGATTGGCCAGCTATCCAGTGTGTTGTGATTGGCCGAATACCTCAAGCGTGTGACGGAAATGTTACGCCCCTTATTCTACTGTGATGCCGTGTCCCGGCCCGACGATACAAAACCAATAAAACCCATTACAAACGAGGCATTTTTTGCATCCAGTGGGGACATAATTACTGATTATAATGACTTATACTGTCTTTTTACATCGCGCCGCATAAACATAAAACCATGTCTGCATTTGCATTATTTGTCAGAACACTGGCATTGTAGGCTACTCTCCCAGGATCAGGAAACAGTCCTTGTCCTCCATAAAATGCTGGAAAGATGAGAAAACAGGACTTCAGATAGCTGTTTACCAACTTCAGATCCTGTGAGGTAAAAAAAAATAAATCAAAAGTATATTAGTGATAAAATGTTATACTGTTATATTATTTTAATAATTGGATACAGTCGAAAAGATCAAGAACACTTGAGGTGGGACAGGCCACCACTTAAATAATTTAATTAATAGAGCATGACATCAAAATAATACATCAAAAATACATTTGCAAATGTATACCTATGATGAAAATTACAGGCCTCTCTCATCTTTTTAAGTGGGAGAACTTGCACAATTGGTGGCTGACTAAATACATTTTTCCCCCCCTGTATATATATATATAAGGTAAATTAGTTACCTATTTAAACACCAAAAAAACTCCCTATTTATACACATGCCATGCCATCAGTGCTAATAATTTCTCTGTCTGACCTACCTTGTCACGCTCGAACAGCTGTAGGAGGAAAGTGGCCACCGTGGCTGTTATGCCAATGAAGAGATTGATGACTATGAGGAAAACATAAGCTGTGCTGGGCACCTCAAACCAGAAAGATGCTGGATACATAATGGGGGTTATAGACCAGCTAGAAAGAGAGAGCGAATTGTCACATTTAATGTGAATAAAACCGATTAAAAAAAACCCCCTGTATTTACTGTCACACCGTCTGACTGAGTCTTCATACAGAAAGAGCTTACCCATAAAGGAGGAAGAGAGAGAGCACTGCTGGGAAATTTGTAGGTGATGTGTACGCAGGAAGGTCAAATACAAACAAAATTAGGACACAGCACGTTGCTGGAACCAGGTAGTTCAGCTAGCGAAGAAAGGACAAAAGAAAAACATTTTAGCCCTCAGGACTGTTCTTGTTTGTGAATAAGCACCAAATCCCACATAGTCTCTCCTTCATCTTACCATATCCCATATGTAGTTTGCTAGCCAGTACGTGACAGGGTCACATCCACTGACAAACTGCAGGTGTTTGGCTTTGGTGGATTTTTCTGCTACCAGGAAGACCACGAAGCTTGCTGGCACAAAGGACATGGCTACAATGATGAAGATGGCAATAACCACATCAGTGCCCTGGAGCCTAGAAGAAGATGAAGAGCGGATATGAAATCAAAAATAAGCAATGAGTGTTCGAGGGTTGGAACAGGAAGAAGAGAGGAGAGTAGGACTTACAGATAATCCAAAGAAAGACTGGCACTGGTTCTGTTCATTGGATGATTGGTCACTGTGATGCCTGTGAACACAAACAGAATTTTTAGTGCAATTAAACAATCTTCATAAAAGAAAACAACAGAACGAATATGACTTGTGAAATGTGCACAATTATAGAGAAACAACAGTCAATCAAAGTTTTCAGTCAATGTTTCCTAGATAGATACCTGCAGCTAATTCAGACTCACCGTATGCAGCAGGGTTTCCTTTACTACTGGGCAGATTGGCTCTGAGGATGGCATTGTTCAGGACATTTAGGTAAGTGGGCATACTATGATACCCTTTGTTATTGTAAAGCACCTGTAGAGGAAGACAAAAACATTAAACTTATGAAATATTAGCTCAAAATATATATCAGCTATAAAGAGTAAGAATGCTCTGACTTGCCTGTGAGGATCGCCTCACTGCTATTTTGCGCACCATGGGTGAAGTTTTTCTCCCAAAGGATGCTGGAACACATTTCTGTATGTTTCCTACAGTAAAGCCTCCATATCTACAGGATATGACAAAAATCATTAAGTTTTTGAGTTCTTGTAAAAAAAATTTTAAAAAGAAAAAAAAGTTTTTGCCTCCATCCAATTAACAACCAATGGACTGAAACAAGATCACCGTAGATTCTTTTTCGATAATCAGTTAAACTCGGACATATTTCACAACAGGGAAGAAAAGACCTGTCGCTACTTCTGTTACGAAGCGATTTTAAAGGACTCATATTCTGAATATCATATACATATACTTTTAAACTCCTATATAATTAATTTGCATGTTAAAAACCCAAAACGTCCAGTCAGTCCAAAAAGTCCATTAATCAAAATTGCACTGCACAAACCGTTCTGAAATCATTTGTTTGTGGTGATGAATACACTGGCATATTTACAAATGGGCAATGATACTGTACCATATTACTAAATATTCAGTATTCAGCAACTTGGTCTGAAAAAGACCAAAAATTTAAGAAAAAGAGTTTTATGCTTAATAAATTACCAATAGGGTAAAAACAATCAGCTTAATTCAAAACATTCTATATTCTGTCGAAAAAATACCTTGTATTTTTAACACTGAAAAATAATCAGTAGTGTTATTAGCATAGCAACATATAACATAGCAAAATTTCCTAAATAAAAAAATAGCATAAGATAGTACTTATTTATTAACATTTGTTGGAGGTTTATGCTTTAAGAATTACAAATAGGGTAAAAACAATAAACATATTTCAAGATATACTCTACATTCTGCCAAAAATACTTCTTAGTATTTTCAGCAATGAAATTTAATCAATAGAGCCGTTAACATAGCAACATGCTAATATATATTGTATAATATTCATACATTATATAATATTACATATTAATATATATTATTCAGTATACAACAACTTGGTCTGCTCCATCACTTTGCTGGCATTGCAAAGACACTCATTAAAAAACTTTATTGAACCTGGCAGCAAACCCACAAATTCAGAGTAAGCATTTCACATGCAATACCTTTTATATAAAATCTTAAAGGTACAGTAGAAAAAACAGCCATCTTGTCTGCTATGTTACTACTAGGAAATTAATTAGGAAATGAATTAAATCAATTAGTAAATTCACTAAAATATGATATCATCCCTTTGACAGCCTTTCAGAAGATTACCTGTGTAATCTGAGACGATCAGAGGTGTACAGGATATATTCTGACACATTGCGACCTGTGATGTCCACCAAGATGTCTCCGGTTACTACCTTCATGAGGGGCGGTCGGCCCCCAACTCCACTGGGGCAGGAGAAGCCTGTGCCCTGCATGGAGCAGATACAGCGTACTGGCTCCCGGATGCTCAAGGGCAGAGTCGGGGGAGACGTTGCCATCTCTGTGGGAGCACAGCAAGGTGAGAGGTGCAATAACAAATGAGTGGAAGAATCCTTATCGCACAGCTTAATGGAAAAAGAGAGTCGGCACCCAGGATGTTTTAGAATAATCTACATTATGCAAGGAAATGCATTTTTTACTTTTAGCAATAGTCAGCAGGAGTTATTTTCAGTCTTTTCTAATATCATATCCAAAGGTGCATAACTTTCAGTATCAATCACTATTTTTATTTCTTTTATATCTCTTGGCTGCCAGTCAGTGTTATTTTTTGTTGTAGTCATAGTTTTTTGTCTTCTGATGAACATTTGTATTAAATTAAGTTGTATCATGTTATATTCATTTAAGTTTACTCAGTTACTAGAATGACATCTAATTTTAGTCCAGAAAATATGGACACCTACCAACCATGGCTGCATTTATTTGATAAAAACTATAGTAAAAACAGCAATATTGTGTAATATTATTACAATTTTTTATATTGTGAAATATTACAATTTAAAACAACTTTTAATGTAATTTAGTCCTGTGATGGCAAAGCTGAATTTCCAGCAGCCATTACTCCAGTCTTCAGTGCCACATGATCCTTCAGAAATCATTCTAGTATGCTGATTTGGTGCTTAAGAAACATTTCTTATCAATGTTCCTTATTAATCATGATTCCTTTTTTACATGATACTTTGATGAATAGAAAGTAAATTTTTGTCAAAACTTACTGATCCCAAAATTTTAAACCGTAGTGTATATAACATTTTTCCATCAAAAATGTAGTGCTATATATGCTGTTTACCATAATATGTACCTTTATATCCCATAAATTATCTATATATCCTTACATTCACTAGAAAAACAGCACATACAACAATCACATTTCAACTGCTCTGTGTCCTTCTTACCAATCTCAGGCACAGATAGAGCTACAGTCATTGCCACACAGACAAAGAAAGCAGGAAGCAGGATCTGTGAGAAAATGCCCTTGGTGTTCCTCTTCGCACAGTGAAACCTTTTCACTATCAGCCCGTGAAACTGCCGGAGTTTCAGCCACCAGCCCTCAAGCTTAAAGCTGCCCTGGCCCTCCTGTATGGTCCGCTCCGGTGAGGACTCTTCATCTGGAGCACAGAGGGTATTATAGTACACGGAGTGGTAAGCAAGCATCTTATCTTTATCTATTACCTCCAGGCCTTTCAGAGATGCATTTGTCTCTGACAGACTTCCGCTTTAAAATTCCAGAGGTGGCAAACAGCACTAGACAAAATGTTCTTTCTAAAAGCCTTAAAAGTATAAGTATAAAAAGAGCTGTTTCCTAGTTTGTTCCTTCGCTGTCTACAAACTACCAACTGAGCCATTAATGAAGTGTCTGCAAATTTCAAGTAATTAAATACATAATAATACAAATAAATTATTAAATAAATGTTAGGTTATTTCATTTAATAAAACATTTAAAAATATTTACAAATTATCTGTAATTAATACATTTTTAACTGTCTAATCAGCTTTGAATGTTCAGTTTTTTAGAACTCTTACAGACCATAATAAAAACTGAATAAATTCATAAATTTATGCTAATAACATAAAATGACCAACACTGAATAATAATAATAATAGTAATAGTAGATAATTATGGCTCTCAATTGATAAAACATTTAAAAATATTTAATAAACGTTAATGCATTCAGGTTTTTTTTTTTTAAGGAGTTTTTAGAAATCACACAGCACAATGAAACAGTTACTATGTCTAATTTAATAAATATGTTAATATAAAATAATAATGCAATTAATTTGATTAAATAATAATAATATTTTATATGCTATTTTCCTGAACTCTTAGAATGGGTGGATATAGGGGGCGGGCCGTCGTTTTTTTTTTTTAAGGAGTTTTTAGAAATCACACAGCACAATGAAACAGTTACTATGTCTAATTTAATAAATATGTTAATATAAAATAATAATGCAATTAATTTGATTAAATAATAATAATATTTTATATGCTATTTTCCTGACCTCTGAGACTGGCTGAATCAGGGTCCTGGCCATTGTCAAATAGTGGGCAATAGTCTCCATAGAAGTCAGAATAAAGGCCCCCTTCATCCCCTCTTATTGAGCCCAGAGAAGAACCGGATTGTAGGGACGCTTGGCTTGGGCTCAGCCTGGAGCACATCATCAGGTTATTGAGCTCCATCTCTGGCCGGATCACGGCAGCAGCTGGTGCCCCCTCACACTGCGGCCCTCCTAACAGATTAGAGGGCTTCCCAGCTGATGCTCCACCAGGAGAGTCCTTCATATCTGACAGAGAAAACGAGAGGGATACACATGAAATAAAATTTCATGGCTTTAGATGCATCTCTACAGCATTCTTCAACAGATCTATCTGACCATCTAACCTGCATCGCTGTTCTCCAGTGACAGATCTTCTTCTGATACCTTCAGAAAGACCTCCTCCAGTGTGGTGTCCATCACACCAAAGCTGGTCAAGGCCAAGCTGTCCAAACTCTGTTCCAGAGCCTGAAGAAAATACACCCAACACATGTGCCCATCAGTGAACGCCTCGTATTCAATTTACTAAAGATTTTTACTGATATCAGATTATGTTTTTCCAGTGGTCTAAAATGTTTGTGTGTACCTGAAACAGCCTCTCGAAACAGCCTTTCCTGACAGCCTCAGACGGTAGGACATAAGAGAGCTCAGTGTTGGAGTCAGACACCAGCAGACAGGAGGCAACGTACTGACGGATGAACTGTGTCACTCTGCTCTCTGAACATGGAGATATCGAAGAGGCGGGAGACAGGCTTGACTGATCTAAGAACAAACAGAAACATGATGTTGGGTCATGGCAGATGAAACCGTAGAAGAAAAACTAGGAGATTTTTCATCTGCTCTTTTGATATTTTAAAGAAACAAACAATTAAATGAGGAACAGAAGAACCATATAAAAAAAGATTATGGCGATAAAACAGATACAACAAAATTTTCACCAAAAAACGACCAGTATTTTACATAATAAAACAGATATTTACCAATAGATTTAGATAATAAAGTGATAAACGATTTTATACATGTAGAATAATGTTATTTTATTATTATTTATATACTATTAAAGCTTTTATTAATTTTTCAAATTAGCTTTTAGTTTTATATTTTCAGGTTCCATTTTAATTTTAGATACATTTTTAGTAATGGTGTTATGTGCTTTTTTTTATATTATTGTTTAAGTTTAGTTTATTTTAGTTAAGTTTTAATTGTATTTATTTTTCAGTTAATTTTACAGCATCAACTTTTTCAGTTGGTTGCAAAGACAACATTTCAATTAAGTTTTTCATCATCTAACATTTAGATTTTATTTCAGCATTATTTCAATTCATTTTTTTTTTTTTAAATAGTTTTAGTTTAATAACCCTTATTTATAATATTTTAGTACAAAAAAAAAATCTATATCTATATCTATATATATATATATATATATATATATATCAAATAGGGAAATTACGTGAGCTGGACTCAAACTCACAATGCCAATATGCCATCTCAGACATTAATCATTGAAAATGTGCAAGTCCACAAATGAGAAGATCCGCACATATACCTGCAGTGTGTGAGTCACTCTGTTTCTTGACAAGTGTAAGTTTGTAGCCATCTCCATATGTGCTCTTGAGGAAAAGGGGGGAACCGCAGCACTTGAGTTTGCCATGAGAGATGATGGCAATACGGTCTCCCAGCAAATCCGCCTCATCCATGTGGTGAGTGGAGAGCAGGATGGTACGACCTGCTCACACACAGATTCTAGTTTTGGACTGATCATATATTTGGAAACTGATTATCGACCCCAAATTTTTAAACAGTACTGTTTGTGTGATTAGTAATGATAGGATCACCTTGTTTATATTTAAGAATGAGGTCCCAGATTGCTCGGCGGGCATACGGGTCGACTCCTGCTGTGGGTTCATCCAAAATCACCGCCCGGGACCCACCTACAAACGCAATTGCCACCGACAACTTCCTCTTCATCCCCCCAGACAGAGTCTGAACCAGACTGTGACGCTTGTTGGACAATTCGAGATCCTCTATCATCCTGTGAATTCCAACACACAGCCGTTATGAACTCAGGAATGGGTACGATTGAGAAAGTGTTAGCAAAATGAGAGTATGTTAACCCACTTGTCCATCTCCTTCCGGATATCTTCTTCAGCCATGCCCTTCAGACGCGAGTAGAACCACAGGTGTTCCTCCACACTGAGCTTGTCAAACAGAACGTTGTGCTGGGGACACATGCCCAAATTCTGCCTGATGCGCTCCATATCTGTGCGGATATCATGGCCGTATATGGTGGCAGAGCCAGAGGTGGGTGGAAACAGTCCCGTGAGTATAGACCTATAAGAGATTCATTATATATTAAATTAATTTTCTGCAGGACACAGTTTCATACATACATCCACTTTTACAGTTGTAGTGTGCCATTGTCAGCCAATAACAAGCACAGTATGGGTCCAGAACCACCCTAACACACACTAAGAAACACAATATCCTAACACTCACATAGTGGTGGTCTTGCCAGCCCCATTGTGTCCCAAGAAGGAGACAACCTGGTTTTCATGCAGGTTTAGGCTCAGCTTGTTTAAGGCCAGTTTGCTGCCTGTCTTGTAGACTTTGGTCAGTTTGTCTATGCACACCACCAGCGGCAAGTGACTGGGTTCTTCTTCAATTCCACGAGTTTCCTCTAAGCAACAAACAGACATACATTTAGTAACATGCCTAAAAATCTCTCAACAAATTACATTATTTATTCACAAAACAAAGCTAACTTTAACAAAGAGTGCAAGCTGATAATGTGATGGATGGATGGATGGATGGATGGATACGGAACAAAGTGTACCTGAGCGTCTGTGTTCCATAGCACAAGCTTGGTCCTCCTCCATCACGCTTAGCCTGGTGCCGCCACCCCATGGCCGCTCCCACGTCTCTATGCGGCCACTTCCTAACCAATAGGATTTCTGCAAGGGAAAATACCATGGCCTAGGCAGTCCGTACATTCCTGAGAGAAAAAAAAAATTATGAAAAAACCAAAAGCATTTACTTTAATTTTATTAATGTGTAACAAGAATGTAGGCACTGTTTGCACTGCACAATAATGACATCACTGCAGCTTACCTGGATGCACAGCCTCTATATACCAAGTCAACACACCATATACAATGGCATCAATGGTGAGCATAACCATAGACAGCAGGAGGTTAAAGTCATCGCCCTCTACAGGTGACTGGTTGATAGTGCGCCACTGGATTCCAACCCCAGCAACTTCATACAGGGCAAAGTACTTCGATCCCAGACCGAATGCTGTGGTAGACATTAAAGACTGCACACACACACAGAGGAAGAATCACTTATGAGGAATGTTTACTGAAGATCAATAGACTATCAAAATGGAACATGAAAAGGATTCATGGGATGTCTTCATACCGCTATACACTTCTCAAAGGCAGTGATTTTGTCATGAGCCACCTCTTCTCTTATGGCCACGTACATGTATGGCACATAGCTCAGAAAGTAGATGATTCCTCCACATGCTGAAGCCAGTTTGGCTTTAGAGTACAACACAGACACTAGGAAACTTCCCAAAAAGAAAGTGGAGAAAACATTTACATAACATTAACACATTTTGGACTACTTTTCTTTGTTGAAAAACAATGTAAATAGAATGAAACCAGGTAGTGAGCAAGTAAAAATCATATTATGGCTCCAGTACCAGAACATGATGGTGGCGATAGCATAGATTGTAAGGAAGAGCCAAATGATAAAGGGATCGCTGTGGAGGAGGACCTTGCCATATTTCAGTATGGCAGTGAGGGCTGTCACTGAGATCGAAAGCTGCACGAAGCCTGTGATGAACCAGGCAACCCAGTGCACTGCGTTATTCAAGCCCATCATCTTCATCACCTGTGGAAAAACACCTTGCATTAACCATGGCAACGCTCTCGATCTCTCTGAAGTTTGTTGGTGACACCAGTTTCTCAGCAGAGGAATTTGTTTGTTTTAAAAGAAAGTTTAGTCTATTCTCTCACCTCTTTCAGTCTTTGCTCCTTCTCTGCTACAATGTGCTGGATCATCATGGCCACAGAGTAGACCCAGGATATGACCATACAGAGAGGCATCATGTGCTCGATAACAAACAGGAAACTGCAAATGGAAACACCTGTTACAACTCCTCACCTCCACAAGTTGATTCATTACTAGCACTGACCCCTAATATGCAAGCACCTGTAACTACTTTCTTTCTTTCTGAGATACTTAGAACACCCTTTTTAAGGATACCTAAAAGTTTGCTTGCAGTGGTTGGAATTCTCTTCAACTGCTTCCCCCCCCCCACAGTATTGTCTCCAAACGTGCAAATGATACAAAAATTCATAACACCCAAGATGTTTACACTTTAAGATTTTCTAAATTGGCTTTCCTTTAATAGTAGTAACACACATTAAGGTTTTTTTCCTAAAATATACCCACATCTGTTTGATCTTAACAGTTTTAGAAGCGTCACAGCACAAAGTAAACTGCCCTAAGATGAGTCTATGATTGTCCTCTTTCCCCTGAAGGAGACTGACTAATGCTGTGTCATCTGCAAATTTAATGCGGAGTGGAAGCAGCGCTTTTGTGAATTTGCCTGGAGCGAGGGATGTTTTTTTTTTATATATATATATATAAGCATCTGTGTTCTTTCTGGCTCCGAGAACATTCAGATACCACTCCATAATGTGCATTAACTTGCAGTAACGCAATGCAACTGAACATCTGCGATTCACCATGTCTTAAACAGCATTTTAGGCTATGAGCAGTCAGATGGAAAAAATAATGAACACAAAATATACAACAAAAGTAAAGACCAATCTCACTCGTCTCTAGTGTAGCATGGATAGGGAAACATCTGCACGTAGTTTCCAGGCTCAACAACATCATGGCCCACAAACGTGTTAATGATTGCCCGCTCAATCATATCTAAAAGACGAAGAAACATGGGAAATGTCAACACCCCATCACTTATACATGCTGAAGCTGAATTTACAACACAGCAGCTTTACGCTGTGGGAAAGCTTTGATCCTCTTGCCTTTTCTGAGCTCTTAAATAAGTGCAGCTTCCAGAAACGCCAAGCCAGCACTTTATTGACTGTTGCACCAAGCAATACATAAACAGGTACACATTTCACCAGAAAAACTTTTTGAATAAAACATCAAATTCATTCCACTTTTCCCATGCCAATTCAGTACTCTGCGGATGTTGTTTCAGAACGAGCAATTTATTTATAACAGTTTTGTAAATAATTTTGCACAAATGTCAGAACTAATGCTCAGAGGTTTAGACTACCACTCTCTAGATGAAAGCTAAATCTTTTAATGCCAATAAAATCAAAACTTTAAAGTGCTCACAGCTAAAGTAGATTACAAATTGTATTTTTTGGGAAAGGACAAATTCCTGCTAAGTCTTCTTATCATACCTTGGATCCACACAAAACCATAAAGGAAGTAGAATTTGCCGCCCGTGTTCGGCCCAGGGCGCCAATAAGCTCGGCGGATTTCATTTGTTTTCTCTGTGAAGCTGGAGTTCTGTCGAATCTTATACATAACATGGGGTGGCAGAGATCCATCTTTATTGGTCTGGAAAATCACACCTAGAGAGAAATCACAGATTAAACATATGGCTACTGGCTACATTTAACAAGGTATGACTAAGGTATGACAATGAAAATGTAATTTTAATGGGAAATGGATGGATCAGTGTCTCAACCTTGTTAAGAAATAGCTGAGTCATATTTCACCCCAAAATCACATGAAAAATTGTTTACATAAAAAAATTAAGCCTTCATTGCATTGTGATATTATCTTCAGGACCATTTTATCTCCCCAAATTCTCATCACAATAAATGCACATATTTAAACATATTTTCAATGATGATTCTCATCACAATAAATAATACAAAGATTTACAGTTACATGATTTTTAATAAATTTTTAATAAAAAACAAGGAAGAATATGGTATGCTCAGAAGTTCTGTTAGATATGTTTGAAGGTGCTCTTTGGCAGCGATAAATTGCAATCCAAAAAGCAATGATCCAATGCAAACTTCCAAAAAATTCCTTCAACTGGCCATTTCATGATAGAAAACTTTTAAAAAGAGTACCAACAGTGAACACTGAGGAAGGCACTAGTGGCTGAAACAAGTGGGTTTGCAGCCCTTTATTCTTTGTACTTGCTCTTTTTAAATGTTTTCTATTATGAAATAGAAATAGTTGAATAAAGCCTTTGTGGTAGTTTTTTGGAAATGTGCTTTGGATCATTGTTTTTAGACTGAAATTTTTTTAATGTTTATACTTTATTTTATTAAAATACAGTACAACAAATAATAATTTAATAATTTTCACATGATTAAAAATTAATGAATTAATTAAATTTCACATGAATTAAAATATGATTGACTGTCTATAATATATATACACATATATACACACACATAGGCAAATAATCGTAATAGTCATAAAAATGGCTTAATTGTTTATTTAATTTTCTAAGCAAAATGTAAATGTTTATTTCTTTGTTTCGATTTGGGAGGGAAGTTTTGTTACAATCACTTTTTTTCACAAAAACGTTTTTTGAGATCCAGTGATTACTCACTTGCAAAGACTGAGACATTGTCCTGGTAGGCCTGGTTCAGTGTGTAATTGACAATGCTCTCTTCATCAGGGAAGCCTCTGAAGATATCCACACTGACCTGAGGCATTTAGAATAAGTAAAGCCTTTGTGGTAGTTTTTTGGAAATGTGCTTTGGATCATTGTTTTTAGACTGAAATTTTTTTAATGTTTATACTTTATTTTATTAAAATACAGTACAACAAATAATAATTTAATAATTTTCACATGATTAAAAATGAATGAATTAATTAAATTTCACATGAATTAAAATATGATCGACTGTCTATAATATATATACACATATATACACACACATAGGCAAATAATCGTAATAGTCATAAAAATGGCTTAATTGTTTATTTCATTTTCTAAGCAAAATGTAAATGTTTATTTCTTTGTTTCGATTTGGGAGGGAAGTTTTGTTACAATCACTTTTTTTCACAAAAACGTTTTTTTGAGATCCAGTGATTACTCACTTGCAAAGACTGAGACATTGTCCTGGTAGGCCTGGTTCAGTGTGTAATTGACAATGCTCTCTTCATCAGGGAAGCCTCTGAAGATATCCACACTGACCTGAGGCATTTAGAATAAGCTTTAGTTTTTAGAAAAAAACATGTTGAAAAAAATATATTTTTGCTATTAAAGGGGTCATATGATGCTGCTAAAAAGAACATTATTTTGTGTATTTGGTGTAATGAAATGTGTTTATGCGGTTTAAGGTTCAAAAACAAATTATTTTCCACATACTGTAGATTATTGTTTCTCCTCTATGCCCCGCCTTTCTGAAACGCGTCGATTTTTACAAAGTTGCGTTGCATTGCGCCGCGTAAACATAAAACCATGTCTTTCTTACTTACAGTCTGTGAGTCAGAACAGCCGGCACTGTAGTCTACTCTACCAGGATCAGGAAACAGTCCTCCATAAAATGCGCTGGACACATCTGAATATTTGGGTTAAACTGTTCTGGAACAGTGTTGTAAATACAACTTAACCACTGATTTCTAGTCGTGTCCTCTTTTTGAAGGCCAAACAAAGTAGTTTCACGTTCACAATGAAAGAGCACCACACACCGCAGCCTTGAGTGAGCGGAGGCCGGCTTGAGTGAGCAGAGACGGGCGGGCTTGAGAACGGCACGGCCGGCAGATTCGACGAAGGAGCGTCCGGCGGGCTTGCGGCAACCACACGGGACAACCCCGGGCTGGACTCCGCTTCGTCCACGGTGAAAGCCGATCCGGCGATCCACAGCGCGAAGTTGATGTATTTCCTCAGCGACCAGCACGGATCAACTGCAAGCATGACGAAGCGGATATCGTCCTCTTTTGGAAGGCCAACCAAAGTAGTTTCGCTTTCACAATGAAACACAGCGCCTTCATGACATGGCGGCGGCAGCAATAACAATACTACAGCAAGAATAAAAGTTACGCCTTCTTTCTTTGCGTGAACATTTGGGTGGCGTTATGCAAATCTTCCCACATCGTGACGTAGACATGTGGGGGCGTGTTAGAACGAGCCGTTTTAGGTAGGCGTGGTTGACTCAACTTTTATAAAGAATATCTCTTTGGATTTGAGACTTTAGTCTTTGCAACTTTACAGATCTTCTTCATGCACCAAGAGCTTGTAACACTCCAAAGAGAAAGGAAAAATTGAAATCGCATCATATGACCCCTTTAAATGAAGAACGCAATTAAATAAAAAAAAGGAAATAGTTGTTTTCATGTTAACTCTAATTCCACCTCAAAACACACTACACAAGGTTTTCTTTTTGTTAATGGATATAAAAGATAGGACAAGTTAAATCAAATTGTTCTCCTGACCTTTGACATGAAATTTGTCCAGCCACAAGCAGCATTATCGATGGTGTGCAGCTGTTCCAATAGTGTGGTTGTGTTCGGCAGGGTGAAGTTCTCCTCCAGCAGACTGTTCATCAGCTCACTGTCTGAGACGTTCAACAGGTCATGGTGCCTCTTCAGGTCTGCAATGAACTACGACATACGGACAAAACAAAAGACATCAAGCACATGCACAACAAAAAGTGCTTTTCAAACTAAGCGGCTGAAAGACAGAATGTTACCTGCTGGAGCCACATCAAGTGATTGTGCAATTTACCCTCCTCTAGGAATGCCCTTAATTCAGCTGAGATGTTGAGCCACACACGGGCATAATGAGTCACATTCCCCACAAAAGCAAACGTCTCATTGGCCTAAAGTGAAAACAAAAAAAATATGATCAAAATCTTTATAGCTATCCCAAATGATCCTCTATTAATTGGGTACAACCTAAATTAAATGAAAGAATGACCAGCACAAAGTTTTAAAAGGTCATCTGGTTTCAGAAGTAATTAATCTGCAATTTTTTATTGCAGAATGGTTTGGGTTGCAAACCCAGTTGCTACATTATAAATGCTCACTGTAAGATTTTTTCAGCCTTGAAACACCTTAGACTTGTCTGGACTTACCTTTTGTATGACCTTGTCCACCTCTGAGCCAATGGGAGAGTAGAGGATTTTGGGATTTGTGGTCATGAGATGGACAAGTAATCCCAAGTTTCTTTGTTCTTTGCTGGTAAAGCCCAGAGAACTCATATTGCCCTGTTTCAGAGCTTCTGGCTCAATAATTCTGATAAAACAATGAAGATTATTGAAAAAAAAAAAAAAATCAGATTTAACTTTCAGAAAGGTAACACATCGTAACACTCAAATACTCACCTGTTATTCCCACAAAGAATGGGCTGAAGACCTGCCCACAGCTGAACAAAGGCAGAAAACTGTGATCTAGGGTTTTCGGCATCGGCCTCATTTCCTGCAGCTCTGCCTCCTTCCTCCACAGGGCTGTCTGTTGTGTTGAGACCCCATGTTGTTGTGTTGGAGCTCCAGGACGTGGTGTTGGCTATAGGAGGAGGCAGGTGGCCTGCACAGGCCCCTTTAGGGAGCAGTCTGGCCAGACCTGACAGCAAATCCACATCCCTCAGGAGTCGTTCTACATCCGCCAGGTTCTTCAGCAGAGCGCCGAGATGGGATTGATCCAAGAGACCAGACATGTTAGACTGCTCCAGACGCAACTGAGGAAGGAGGACAGGAAAGAGTGCCATTACTTAATCGTAATAGGTAAAAATGTACAGTATCAGAGTGTTTCTTCAACTAATGGGCACTTTTAGCTCTGTAGACTTATAAAGTGTATTAAACACTCTTTTTGTACTCTTAATAGTTTAATTTGTTCACTAATAATGTCTAACTATATGTCTTTTTTTCCTTTTCATTTTTCCTGAAAGTAACGAAAATTCCTACCACAGTGTAATTTCCAGCACATCTCAAATTCTGTGTTTAATAGCACTCTGTGACTTTTTTTTAATTACAGTGGAAATTATATTTTGGACAATGATAAATGATATAAAATGACAGATTCCTTTCTAAAGCTAGTTTCACAGTTAGCATTTCTATATCCTAAAACACACAATAAATAAATAAGCACTTTTTGCATAATTGAACAAAATTACAGCTTGATTGGAAATAAGAATTTAATCAAATAAAAATTATAATAACTTAATAATTAACCCCTGAGACATAAAATATCACATTGTGTCCGTTTAAGAAGATGTGCTGTTCTTCCATGTACCTGATCAAAGACCTTCTGTGTATCAATCTGATCTCTCAATTCTTCACTCATCTCCTTAAACAGCTCCGCCCTCTGCTCTGCCCTTCCACCACAAACAGTCGTTCGATAGGCCTGTAAAACTGCTTCTTGTTTCTCAGGGACCAATAGGATTTTGCTCATCTCACTGTTCCCTCCTTCCCCACAAGTGAGTGTTTCAAGCACTGAACCAGTCAACAGAATTCCCTGAAAAAAATGTAAGAAGATTTGTGAGGTGTCTTCATTAAACTGAAGCTTATGATTTCTGTGGAACGAAATTGCAAAAAAATGTATTTAACATTTAAAACACTTTTAAAAGTGGAGCTGCAGACCGACCTCCACCTCACGCAGAGCTTGAGGATCAAATTTTTGGCCTCCTCCACCTCCAGTGATCCCCAGGGCCTGGGACAGGACTTTGAGCAGAGCTTGACGGCGAGCAGCTTTAGTGGGGTCTCTCAACGCCTTCTGAATCAGACCCCCCTCCAGACTACGCCAGCCTTCAAGTAACTGCTTCGGAGTATGAATTAAACATTCTGATTGTTTTATAATTGCAAGGTTATAAGCAATTGCATGCCCTAATTGGAAAGTCCTTTACAGCAAATTACTTACTATACTACTATCTATATATAGCAGGGGCGTTTTGTCCCTGTTTTGAGTAGGCCATGTCTATGCAAAACAAATTGGCACAAGAAATAAATCAACAGTCTAAATGTACTTCTTTTTTTAATGCTTAAACTTGACAAGACTGGTATGACAATAATGTGAAAACATCAGTTCAATTTTCCCAGCAGAATGAAATGTAACCGGAACCTAAGTATTTATGAAAATATGAACACACCCCACATAAAAAAAAATCCCCACATGTTGAGAGGGGGCTTTGCCTCCTCATTTCAGTAGTCTGCTACACGCCACTGATGCATTGTGAGATCACACCTAACTGTCTACTGAATCTAAACGAACAGTATTAGTTTCAAAATGTAAAAAAATTTTGTATGGGTGTCAAAATGGATATTGTATAACACATATTATTATATTTAACATTTCCCATCCATTAAGCATCATAACAATCTGATATAATTTCAATCTGATATCTTTACCTCACAACCTCTCTCCAAACCCACTAACACAAAGACATATCAACAAATTAGCAAACAGAGCAAAGGATTTACAGGCAGAAAGTGTTGCCGATACAAAAAAAAAAAAAAAAAGGTGCTGCCTGCTTCTCTGACTCTTTTTTTGCCATTTACAATGTCTAGGGCTGGGACACAGACAGGTGATTTCTCAGGACTATCTGTCAAGTAGTAGGTACATTATGTGTGTGGTATTCAAAAACAAGTTGCTTACAGCAGCTCAACAAGTATGAAATATGAATGAGAAAGGCACTGCAGCAGCACTGGTCGTGTGGGTGGGACAATTATTATATCATTTAATTATTGCAGACTTGCATTACTGTAAGTTTAGTGCTTGCACTTCTTGTGCATTTTAATGGAGTTTAAGAAATACAGAAGCAGTGTTTGTTATTTTTAAACCACATCTACTTCCTATATTTATTCAATTAGCGGTTACTTTTATACAAAATATGACCCCAAACTTTTGAACAGTAGTGTATACACACACACATGCACACGGAAATGTGTGTGTTTTTGTCATTCTATACCTCCAGCTGTACAAGCTTCTCTCCAGGACTGTGGAGTTCATGCTGTCCTTCATCTTTTTCTCCTACCTTTGATGGCACTTTAGGATACATCCCAAAGATGAGATTATACACCTGAACAGAGTACACACACATACACACGCACAAGCACAGATTTAGAAACTCCTATCTCACACATATACTTTAAATAGCCAGAGAAGAGAAGAAACGAAACTCCCTCAGGAAAACTAGCATTTCATTCGGAAATTCACAAGAGCATATCTCAACACTTTTAGATCGACTACAGCACATTAACCCGACACATTAAAGCGTGTTATGCTGGAGCTCCTCTGCCCTAAAGCATTAGATTCAATTGCACATCCTCTCTCTGTGTTGTCATGGAGCAGAATCGTTAATGGTGCTGCAAACCCGAGCTGAGACTCCAAAGAGGATGAAAGGGGAAGAAGGCTCAGAGGAGCATGACGCGGAGTCATGATTTGGACTTCAAAAGCACTGCTGTCTGACCTGGGTTGGAGGAAAAAGGAAGTTGAGGTGAGAAAACAGACCTCTTTCAGGTTGATGGGGGAGGAGAGCAGCAGGCTGGCGGTGTCTTTTGTCAGGGAAAGGTTTCTGATCAGGAACTGTTGGAACATCGACTGGTTCCTGAGGACACTTCCCACGGTAAAACCTGAAGCAGAGACATGCACACATTTTTCATCAGAAGAATTTTTATTTGCTGCAGTTGACATATATGTACACTACCATTCAAATGTTTGAGGTCAGTATTTTTTTTTTTTAAAGAGGTATGCATTAAATTGATTAAAAATGACAGTAAAGACTTTTACATTGTTACACAAAATGTCTATTTCAAACTAATTGCTGCTGAACTCTTTTGAATTTGGTATTCATTAAAGAATTCTGAAAAAAATGATTAGGGTTTCAACTAAAATATTGAGCAATACAAAATATTTTTGAACACCCAATCAGCATATAAGAATGATTTCTGAAGTATCATTTAACATTCTGAAGGACACTGAAGACTGGAATAATAGCTGCTGAAAATTAAGAATAAATGCATTAATAAAGAAAACAGTTATTTTTAATATTCAAAAATATTAGTTTTTACTGTATTTTTGAGAATGTAAGAGACTCTTTCAAAAACTTTTACAAAATATTACCAACCTCAATTGAACGGTAATGTAAGATGATTGATTCTTGAGCTCAATATTCTTTATGCAAGTACAGTATAAAGCAATCAATGTGATTATTTAGGTCATCTATTGGCCATGTGTGAATATGCAGGTTACATCGAACTTTGGTAGACAGAAAAAGAAGAAACTTTTTCACATTAACTTCATCTGTAGCCTTCTGCATTCGCATTCATACAGTAAAGTGAATGGAGCACAAAGTAAGGAATTTGTCCACTGGTGTGTAAGAAATCAGCTCCATTACACTTAAAATGCCAGATGTCTGCCGCTTCAGGCATGTATGTGTAAAATGTACTGCTGTATGGTTGTTTTCAGTGTGGTCTATTATTACATCATTACATGGTCAATCATATAAATGCATGATTACAATTGGCAATATACAAAAAGTTACTTTTTAAGGCCAAAAGTATGCATATAGTGTCAACAGAATTTACTTCTGTTATGCTACCCACAGTTGAGCCACATGAAAGCATGCATTTGAAATCTAATAACAATGAGATTTAAACACTAAATCCAGCAGAAACTGCATCACTGTTTTACTACAATAGTGATTTGCTTCTAATTTGCATGTACGGTTATGGTCAAGGTCGGTGTAGGTATGTACAGTATGCATGTATGTATGTATGTATGTATGTATGTATGTATGTATGTATGTATGTGTTTCCTGACCGTGGCTGGTGTCGTAGTGGCTCTCTAGAGGGCCTTGTGCTGAGCTCAGACTTTCAAGGTGCTGCTGCAGTGACTCCAGCTCCTCTCCCAGACTGGGCCTGTCTGACGTAAACAAGTGATTCTGCTCCACGACTTCACTGATCCTTTCTAACAATTGAGTCACACTGAAAAACAGGAGGAAAAATAAGAAGAGAGGACTATAATAAGAAGAGAGGGGCAAATTATATAAGCAGAGTAACCAACTGAAAAAAATAGCTTAGACTAGTGTGGTCCAAACTGGCCAATACAAACTGCAAAAAAAACTTTTCTAATCAGTATTTTGGAAATATGGGGGGGGGGGGGGGGGGGACATATTAAGGTATTTTACCTCAAAATCCTATATTTATATATCTCACACCAATGAGAAATTTTTTTGGTTATATTTTTTGAATGCAATTCTAGCGTTCAATTAATGAAAATTATTTTTTAAAAGGGTCATATGATGCAATTTAAATTTTTCCTTTCTCTTTGAAGTGTTAAAAGCTCTTGGTGCATAAAGAAGATCTGTAAAGTTGCAAAGACTAAAGTCTCAAACCCAAAGAGATATTCTTTATAAAAGTTAAGAGTCAACCACACCTACCTAAAACGGCTCGTTCTAACACGCCCCCACATATCTATGTCACGATGTGGGAAGATTTGCATAACGCCGCCCAAATCTTCACGCAAAAAAAGGTGGCGTAACTTTTATTCTCGCAGTTGCCGCTGCTGCCATGTTGTGGAGTCGCTGTGTGTGTGAAATAAACCAATATCCCGAGTTATTCAGTTACTCCTAACAGTACATTGACTGAACTGCTAAAAGAGAACCGATGATGGGATGTGCACGAGCAGAGCAGCTGGACTGAGTCTCGTCCTTCTGGGAGATGGCATCACAATATGTTAAGGGGCGTAAACAATAATGTACATTATATGGAAAATAATGTGTTTTTTGAACCTTAAACCACATAAACGCTTTACATTACACCAAATACACAACATAATGTTCTTTTTAGCAACGTCATATGACCCCTTTAACAGTTTTTGTTTTAATAACACAGGGTCCTTGGAGCAGCATTAATACTGATTAGTACTATCACTGTAAAAAATGATTTTCCTAAGTTGTAAATAAAAGAAAGAAAGTACTATTTCAGTCTTTCTGCTTCAAAATTTCATGCTTAATTAAGTGTGTTACTTGCTGCTTCCTTGTATTTAATTGTGAAATTACTAGAAACCTCGGAGCGAAAGATTGTTTCTACACCCTTTTTTCCAGTGTAGCTTTGTGCTGGTGTGGCTGGTGGATGAGAACAGCCATGCTCTTTACCAGAAATATTTGGAAAACATCTGTAGTAAAACTGATCAAGGATCAAGTCTTGATACTTAAGCTAGTGCGCTTCAAAAGCCAAGAAATGCTGGTGACCAGTCATGTTGAGGTCATAGTTATGTAGTTATATCACTACAATCCATCAAAAGATCAAATCATAAGCACACAGATAAGATCCATTACACAATCTAACAGCTCGTAAGATCACTAATACACAGGTGGTGATGGTGACTGCTAGTCACACCATATAATGAGAACAGAATCCATTAGAGCCCATCTTAGTCATCGAGAGAGGAAAAAAATCAGAAACCGAGTGTAGGTGGACTCACGTGGAGTTTTTATACTGCAGGAAGCCAAACTCATCCCGCTGACCATCCGGACACAAAGACTGCATGATGGGAATGATGCCCGCCGAGGTGAGAGGGGCCGCGCTGTAGAAGGCTGGACAGAACGGGGGGAAACCAGACCACCAAGGTGGAGGGACAGAGAGGACGGAGGTGACAGAAAATTGAAATCCAGTATTGCAAAGAGGTTTAAATGGGTTTGAACGAAGGTGCAGTAGTGTTCAGATGTAGAATTGGAGAGGAACATAAAACAGAGCAGTGTATGGATGGAATGTGAGCGTGTGAATAAATGAGCGGGATCGTAGGATGTGAACAAACAGAACAACAATGCCCCCTTTAAAAAAAAAAATTAAAAAAAAAATATATTAATAAAAAAAAAAAAAAAAAAGAGCCCCGCCGCAACAGGCCACGTCGCTTCACCCAGAAGCAGCAGCGTTAGCTAAACACAGCTCGCCATCGGCACCTGACGACTCTGCAAAAAACATCCCCCGATTGACATTAACACTGAGGCGTGTTATATTTCTGCTGTTCCAGTGACAGGTTGTCTGCTCACAAGAGGTAGCTGTTTTTATGGCCTCGGTTCTCTTATATCTGACATCTGCTCCCGCTCCACAAACACAGCAGAGGATTAAAAGAGCAAAGATCAGTCAGGGGAAATAACCTAATGGCTCAGCAAATGGATGAATTCAGTAATTAATTGTGTGTGGTGTGTGTGTGTGAGAGAGTGAGTGTCAGACAATTATTATCACAGCTCATTGGTTGAAGAATACAAATGTGTCGTTGTGTCAAGACAAGGTGTTTGAATAACGTGTCGTCGTAAGAAAGAAGCTTCATTCACAGTGGATTGTGGATTATGTTAGTGTTCACAGAGACATGGGGGCCCCAACACCTAAAACTCTTACACCAGGCATGACGCAATAAAATGGCAAGCGATAAAAGCTATGCTAATCCTAGTTTCTGAAATCAGCCATAAGAACGACTAGTGCAGCAATGTGACTAATGTTTGAAAACGCTCTAGGTGGAATGGGGTTTTGGACAATATCATGATATTGTGAAACATTATTACAATTTAAAATGTTTTGTTGTTTCAATATTTTATATTTTATTATATTTTAAAATATAAGGTACCCGTCATGACAAAGCAGAATTTTTAGCAGCCATTACTCCAGTCTTCAGTGTCACATGATCCTTCAGAAATATAAATCTTTCGTAACATTATAAATGTCTTTACTGTCAGTCTTGATCAGTTTAATGAGTGCTTGCTGAATAAAAGTATTAATAAAAATAAGTCTTACTGACTCCAAACCTTTGAACAGAAGTGTAAAAATATATTAAATAAAAAGGGGATTGTCTGACTTTGACGTTGTTACTGTATATTGCCATTATTATGGAACACACAAAAAAAACATTATTACTGGTCTTCAATAATAATAAGTTACTTTAATGCCACCAAACTTTTGGTGGCCAAGCTATATTTAAATTCAAACATAGATGAGCCTTCAGTGTGGACGTACAAATTTCATATAGCTTTTTGCATCACACCTGGTTATGTCACAATGTTATTATTATTATTTTTTAATACATCGTGTGCATGTATGTTGAAATATGGGAAGTCTACACATACTGCTGGAGTCATTTGCGCCCTTTTACAATTAGATTGATGCATGAGACAGTTGATATGACAAATACACAAACATGTTAGAGTCCATGAAAAAACACATGCTCACAATTAGAGGACACAGTGAAATGATCCCACAATTTAAAAGAGTTAAGAATTCAGCCATACACACACACACAAAAACATTTTCACTTACACACTGGTCCAGCATGCAGTTAACATGCACGGTGAGGGAAAAAGAATGAAAGAGAGGTAGAGAGAGAGAGAGATACAAAAGTATTGAGGACAGATGACAGAAAGAAGCAAAAAATAAAACAAAACATGGTGTGATTTCAGCACTGAAAATAACAGACATTGTGATGACATACAAATGAGGGTGTTCTGTGAATAAAAAAATACTACATGGCTAAAGCTGTCTGGCAGTCAAAAAAATCTTTGCAATCAATGACAGATTGGCAAAGTTGTATGAACCACATAGAAAAATGCTTACAACACTTAAAAGTATAGTTCACCCAAAAAATGAAACATCCGTCATCATTTAATCACCTTTGTGTCGTTCCAAACCTGTATGTATTTCTTGCCTTCAGTGGAACACAAAAGGTTATGTTAGGCAGAATGTTCTCCCTTTTCCATACCACGAAAGTTCAACATTCACTGTTGGCAAAACCTGCAATCTGAATGTACATGAATGAGCACAAGATTTAAGAGCTAGAATAAGATTTAAAGACTGTTTCCCACACAAATCTTCAGAATACTTGGAATATAATGCAAAAGTTATTGTGGACTACTTTTATGATGCTTTTTTGGAGCTTGACATCTTCACATTGTATAGAAAAGTATAGTCAGGACATTCTGCAAAGTAATTCCTTTGGTGTTCTTCAGAAGAAAAAAACCCCACACAGGTTTAGAACAACATGAGGGTGAGCAAATGATGACAGAATTTTTATTTTTGAGTGAACTGTCCATTTAATTACTGATAAAGGCTAAAGGACCCAGTCTAACTAATTCAGGCACACAGAAGGCTAAAGGACCCAGTCTAACTAATTCAGGCACACAGAACATTATTGCAGTGGGTATGTGAACTTCATAAGAACCCCAGGAGAAAACTGAAGTATTCTGACCACTGGAGGGTGGGAATGAGCTGGGTTGGGGTAAGAGCCAACTTACTCTTCCTTCCTTCCTTCACGTCCTATTACTCATATTCTTCTCTCTCTGTGCTGTTATGAAACTTACCTTCTTTCACTGGAATGGCCGGCTTCTTCTGCCGTAAGCCCAGGAGTATGAAGAAGAGCACCAGGGGGATGAATATCTCAAACGCAAGAACCCACTGCAGAGATTAACATACAGAGAAACAGGTTATAAAAGCCACACTAGCCACGGTGGCTGCTGGTGGTTATATGCATACTGCATAGTTAATTCACAGTTGGTCTGAACCTCTTTGATTGAACATCTGAAGTGTCACACAGTTCAACTAGGGCTCATCAATAAAAATGGCCCACTGGACCAGGGGCCAGTTCGTTTAAACTTTCTATTATAATATATCTGAACTGTAGAGTGGTTTCCACAAAAACTGTTTTTAAGATTGATAATAATATTAAAAAAATATTTCTTGAGCACCAAATCAGCATATTAGAAAGCTTCATGAAGGATCATGTGACACTGAAGTAATTTTGATCAAATAAATACAGTAGTAAATATAAAAATACATTACATTCTTTTCATAATAAGGTCAGTAAAAATGTTGGCTGGCTCAAGAGGATAAGCAGGAAAAAAAATCTCATGGTTGAGCCCTACCAACTGATTGAGTCCAGTGTTAGGGATTGATCTGGTAAATACAGACTGGCCAATTGGAGAGTTTTAACTTTTTTTTGGTTAAAAAGGATCCGAAAAATCTATATTTGAGCAAGTACATAAACCAGCCAGTGTTCAAAACTATTGCCTTACTTTAGCCCGATTCACAACGGTTAGCTTATAATAATGTTTTCTAATTTGAGTGGTATGGGTAGGTTTTCGCGCGAAATTCAAGCATGGCACGGCGTCATTACGTCACGTCTGTAAACATAAAGAAGTTGTCCCGGCTAGTAGGCTATATCGCATGTGAGGATCCTGCAGGTGGCTGATCGTTTATAGCCTTTTCTCACAGCAGCCAGAATAATTAAATGTATCATTTTGATGGCGGATTGTAATCCAGAAAGGATTATGTGTTTATGAAACACATGTGAATGAAATTAAATTATATTCCAGTTATAAATGCGCTTCTGATTACAGATAGCCTGGGATTACAAAGATTTGTATTTTAAAGAAAACCTGTTCGAAGGGAGCATAATTTACTTTTTGGGTTAAAAGAATTTCTTAATATGAAATTCGAAAATCATGACAATTAGATTAGACTGTGCAGAAATTGAAATCTACACGCTAATACACACTATACTCATAGTCACCAGTGCTGATGTTGTTAAAGGGATAGTTCACCCAAAAATGAAAATTGTCATCATTTACTCACCCTCATGTCGTTCCAAACCTGTATGAATTGCTTTCTTATGTTGAACACAAAAAAAAGGTATTTTGAAGATTGTTGGTAATCAAACAGTTGGTGGTTGCCATTGACTTCCATAGTATTTTTTTTCCTACTATGGAAGTTAATGGCAACCACCAACTGTCTTCAAAATATCTTCTATGTTCAACATAAGAAAGCAACTCATACAGGTTTGGAACGATATGAGGGTGAGCAAATGATGACAGAATTTTCATTTTTGGGTGAACTATCCCTTTAACAATAATCATTTGAGAATAAAGTATAACAATAATTTCAAGGGTTTGATGTGATATGAGCTAACCGATCTTTAGATTTAATCACCATTGGTAGCGAGATTTATGGTAATGATTTTTTCCTCAGTTGGTCAGAACAAACGTGGCAGACTTGTTACTTACTCATTCAGATGGCAATATATGGTGAAAATTCTTATTTGGGTCATATTCCAAGATGTAGGCTAGAATCTGTGATTGCGAAGTACAGTAAATATCCACACCGGTGCGATGACTGACTGCCACACATACTCTTCAGAACATTAGATTCATCTGCGCTGCAGCCGTGCCGACTCACAACCCACGGAAGCTAGATAATTCCGCACACAGCTGCAATTCCAGGTTTTCAAACAGAGATGGCGACAAAGAGGCAAAACTAACGGACTGCAGCTTTAACATGCAATATTTGCTAGTGGGTTGGCTAACACACCTGCTAGTGCTTCCAAACAGCCCGTTCCAACAATTATTAAAAGAGGTGGAGGAGAAATTAAAGATATCGTATACACACACACACTCCACAGCAGGTGGCTGGAAAGAGATGTCAAATGCTTTCAAGCACATTGTTTAAGGTGTGCAAAGTACAGCAGAAAAGCTGCATCCTCCAACATTTACCCCTGCATTATTTCCACTACTTATTCTCTCTCTCTCTCTCTCTCTTGAGCGCGCAATATCTGCCGATCTGCCTCGACAGTGATCCGTGCGCGAGTGAGAGAACGCTATTTAAACGATAAGGGAGAACTTAAACCGAGCTTAAACCGGCACTCTTCCTGCCTCCGTCTCTCTCTCTCTCTCTCTCTCTCTCTCTCTCTCTCTCTCTCTCTCTCTCGTCTTTGGACAAATCTGAACTGAAGTTACTTAGTTACTGAGTAAATAAGCTGTTGGTTGAAGTGTAGACTGTGATTAGGAACTCACAGGGTTATAGCCAAGGATGTTATTTATAGCTGAACTGAGATCAGCCTCTTATTCTTCTTCCCTATACGAATGCTTGCGGCTGCCATCTGTGCTTGACCGAGAGGGGCTGATCTCAGATCATTATTTAAGGGCATCCTGTCCCGACCACAATGTGTCTTTCACTGCAGCACAGCATCACCACAACAACACTGACCCCCCAACATCCCGTCTCTGTTGACAAGTGACAAGAGAAGGTGCAGAGGTTTTTCTCTTGCTGTTAAGACATTCTCCCCATCTCTGCCATTTCTGAAGGTCACAACAAACAAGAAGCTCCTTTTACATGCATCTCTCACAATACACAAAGCCGCATCTGACACAGCACACAAAGCTTCGCTTACAAGACCGTCGGTGCTAAGCTCAAGGGATGTAAACACCAGCCAAAGAGTGCTTGTTTCTTTTTAGAAAGTCCTGTGGCTTATTAAAGGGGCAAAGAAACATTGCTTCACTCACAGTCAGTTTTAAACTGTAATTTGTATGTTAGAGGCCGTTCATCTATTATGTATGGAGCTATTGTGTCTGCCTATGAGCACTGCTCCTCTTCTCAAGTGAACTCAAGTGTATTTGTATAGCGCTTTTCACAATACACATTGTTTCAAAGCAGCTCTACAGATCGAACTACTTTATTGTGATATAACGTATATCTTTACCGTGACACATCTCATGGTACAAGATTTTGGTCATATATCACCCACTGTTCTGCTAGAAAGTTATACATAATTTAAATGTGGAAGACAGAAGGGGCATGCAAACAATCAATCATTTAGTTATGGCAGTATTTTGGCACAGGTTGCTACTGTAGTCATTGGACAGCATCATATAGTAGGGGGAGTAGAACATCTGGCTGGATCTAGAAGGCCCTGGTACCAAAATTTTGTGACCTTAATGAGAGTGATGGATTATAGCGGTGGAGACACTTTAGCAACACTTTTAGCCATTTTATGGCCCATCCAAACAGAATTTAGATTCCATCCCTGTTTTTATATTTGTATCTGCTTCTAAGTGCAAGACCTGGACGTTAGGCCACAAACTATGTAAAGCTGCTCGAGACAAATGTGACTGTTAAAAGCCCAATACAAATAAATCTAAACTGAACTAAAATGAGTAAGGTGTATTAATGGCAAGTGTGTTGAATGTGCTTCATCTAAAAGGTGTAATGCAGTTTCTCGTTCCTCGACTCTAGCCTCACACTCCAGGCAGCCAGGGCTTGAAGAATGGATTTGTGGTCATTCCACACTGAAGATTACCCATATTCCCCTCTGTTAATACCCAACAGCTCCAGGCTAAAGACATATTTCTCCTGAGACTCACTGGGACATTGCTGCATTTCCATCCCGAGCAGGTTATACAGAAACAATTCCACCCAGACAACAACAAAGGACAAGGGACCTCAATACAACATGCAATGCTTTGTTTTTCATATGAATAACTCGACTAGATGATACACGGTTATAATATGTCAGGCGCTGAGTGAAGATCATTAAAGTTTATCTGGAAATGAAACCCATTTCAGTCAGTCACCGACAAAGAAAGCTGAATAAATATTTGTGGATTTGTTCAAATCTCAATCAATACAACAGCACATTCAAAAGTGATTAACAAGTGCATTAAGAGCTGAACGCTTTAAAATTGAAATGGTTCTAACTTCTTGCTAATGTAACTTGATTAGATGTTATCACTCTACCTAGCGCTAATCAACTAGTCCAGGGGTGGCGAACTCCAGTCCTGGAGAGCTGCAGCCCTGCAGAGTTCAGCTCTAACCCTAATTAAAACTCACCTGCCTGTAGCTTCCTAGTAACCGTTCAGACCTTAATTAGCTTGTTCAGGTGTGTTTGATTAGGGTTGAAGCAAAACTTTGCAGGGCTGCGGCTCTCCAGGACCGACGTTCACCACCCCTGAACTAGTCAATGACATATTTTAGAGCAGACCACAACTAAAAAAAAATAAAAAAATACAATATTCACTATGCATGACATATCTGTACCATATCAGTTATTGGCCGATATTAGAGATTTTTTTTATTTTGATATTGAATGCATACAGATATTGGATATTCATTGTGCGTGCTAATTTCCACAATTTTTTTACTTTAAAAACACATGAGTTACAAAAACAGTCGGTTATGTCTGTGAAGGTAAACAGCTGGGAAATAAATCACATGTTTTTTTAGATCTGTGTGGCAGCAGCAATATACAGTAAATAATCAATAAATCCACTGCTCTCGTCTCCTCTGAGGCTGGGACTCTAAATTTGTGTTTCATCAGTGCAGCCAAAGACAGAACAGTTAACATGTTTTGCTCAAACTTTCACCATGGCATTAGAACTGGCACACCATTGTCGCTTGCGAAATCAAAATGACGGTGCTGTGGATGGAAACTTACAGATGAAGGGGCGGTAATATTATAATGAGATCCCTTTGCCACGTCACCAAGGGAGAGAAATCAGACGCGCTCGTTTTCTCAGACACTTGCAGAAAAAGGCTTACCAAAACACAGTTACTAGGTTAATCTTTTTCACGTTTCCTTGGTTGGTAGATGCAGGCTGTAGATCCTAGGACCTGATTATAGCACTTAAAACCTGGAAAAGTCCAATTTTCATGATATGTCACCTTTAATGTTACCCATTATTGTGGGAACTCAGATAGACACTTGAAAAAAGGGAGTGATGAACGGAGTTGTTTTTCTCAAGGTCGATCCTCTTGACCCTGGGATCCTGCTCACCTCTCACACAGCAGTGCTTAAGGTATCACTCTCAAAAGACTCTGTTCTTCATCTACTATGACGTTAGGCTCTATTCAGAGATCCTGTTTCTTTTACTCACAAAGGCAGGACTGTGCTTCACCTTATTGAGTATGAAGAGTGTCTGCTTCGCTTACGAATTTGTGACAGCTAATTTTGACAGACCCGCTTAGAATTTATTAACAAAGCTATAAATTCTACAGATATATTTGCTCAGAAAAGTGGAAATAAAATGTAAAAATGACACATAAAATATATACAGATGTAAATGCTCAGAAAAGTGGAAATGAACAAATAAAACATACATTATACAGTATGTTAGATTCACACACTGTGGCTGGAGGCCAGTTACGCAGATGGCAGCATTACAGAAAATGGCTCACCTAATTTAAAGGTTAATTAACCTCTGTGTTCTTTCAGCTGCTAATTCATCTCAGTGTAATGACTGAGCAGTGAGTCATTACAGATGAACCCATTAGCTATAAAAAAGCTTCTGAAAACAGGAGTCAGAAAAGAGGTGGATTGAGACAAGACATTTACATGCATTTGTATGTAGTCTTCCCTCTCTGTGGGATCAGTGTGCATGTGAAATAAACAGAGAGGGAGAGGGAGAGAGAGCGAGGAGGAAGGGTTAAGTACAGGTCATTGGTGGGTGGTGTCTTTTATATTTGTTAACTAGCTTTACAACAGCTTCCCGTCTCTCAGCACGGTCGTAAAACAAGATAATACACATAATGCAAATAACTGTTTAATGAACATTGAAGACGTTCAATATAGAATGTATAGAAATATTTCTAAAAGTGAATGATGCACTATTAAATAAAATTCACAGTGAACAACATTAAATATAAAAACATGGCTGTGCAGTTTTTATTGCATAAGTGGGTAGCGGTGAGGTGGGAACTAATCAAAAAGACGCACGATAATTGATGCAATAAACTGCGACTGCGCACACTCGTACATATATATGATTTAGTCAAATCTGCCAATGCCATTATGATTTCTACGTTGTTAAAATAATAATAATAAAGAAACATTTTAATGACCAAAACACAGGTAAAAACTACTCTAACCACAATCCTGAGGCGGGATCCAGTCAGAGAATTCGCCGTTATCATAACATCAGCGCTCATTGTGACCGACCCCGCTACCATGAATTGTCACCATGGGGAACCTCGACCTATGTTCAGGTCTGTTCTCGTAAAAAATATTTTAAATATCTTTAACGAACATTATCATGATGTTTTGTCTGAACTCTGAATGCTAGGGTATGGCAACTGCCATACTCTGCCATAAACTGACTTACAGCTCAATTAATCTTTTTAATAAACTTTGCACTATTAAACTAAATCAACACTGAACTGACTTAAGTTAAATATAGACACTATAATCTTCAGTAGAGCTGCTTTATAGTTGAACTCGGTTCACTTCATATTAACTAGTGAACTTTGCAGCATTGAACTAAACAGGGATTAATAATGACACTAATGTCTTTTTAAAGTTACTTTACCTCTGAAATTTGTTTCATAATTGAAGAAATTTCAACATTAATACTGTTATTTTCTTTCTTTTATTACTGTGAAGCTGCTTTGAAACCATATGCATTGTATATTGTGCAACATAAATTTAACTTGACTTGACTTCAAGTCACATATTTTTACACAGTGTGAGGGAAAATTGACACAGACAGCATGAAACAGTGAAAAAGAGAATATAAAATGAGGCAGCCATTCATGAAATTCCAGTGGGCATTCAGTCTTTTGTACCAAGACAGGTGTAAGGTTGAGAAAGGGCATATTTTCTAGAAAGGGGAAAACGGAACCCAACTGTGCCACTTCCTTTAAGGGAGAGAACGATAAGGGGTGAAGGACAGCATGTCAATCCCATCATGAATTATGCACAGCCGAGAGAAGATGAATAGATATGTAACGCTTACCAGAGCTCAAGTCCCGGAGCCCGCGGATGACACAGCAGCTGTAATCTACTGCAGACCTGACTGAGAATCAACCTCTTAACCTAAATACACTCATCTACTGGAACAACTCCACACTTTCTCGGCTTCCTTTGTTTATAGCATTCAAGTCAAATTTAACTACGAAAAAGAATGGGAGAGAAAGCAAACAAAATGGAAAAAAACAAAAACAAATAAAGGACAGTGATGTAAAAGAGGAAAGAGCATTTAAATGAGAGGACAGAAAAACATAGGAGTCAATTAAGTATTCAAGTTTAACTCAAATACACCTCTTGGTGATGTTATTATGTTATTATTTGTGGGCCTTATAGTCAAAAATGTCTAAGTGGTGTGAATGTCCAGAGACTGCAAATTAGAAATGGGCTGAAATTAATGAGAAAAAAAAAAGAGAGAAAACTTCATCGTTAGTCCTAATCTTTGGATTAATAATACCAGCATATCAATACCAGTTTATACTAGCATGCCATCTACAAAATGCATGACATGCATGATTTCAATATGCAAAATGCATATAACAAAACCATAAAACAGGAAATCTGATCACAAATAACATGACTTTCATAATTCAAATATTCAAGGAAATATGTGTGAAACAGGCGTGACTGTGCTGGCACATACTCCGTCTGCAGTGCGTATGCATTGCGTTTTTTTTCCGCACCCATGTTAACGGTCCGGCAGTCTGCAGCAGTGCAGAGATCGTTTACGCGCCGAGTCTATTTTTGCTGTGCTGCACGTGCTGAATTAAAGTGACAGTGCATTGTTCGTGGTAAAAATGAACATGGATTGACATGGAAATGTAGTAATTGCACAATAAATTGATATAATTAAAGTCTACTGTGTTTCACAGTCAACACGTGGCTTTTTGGCTATAGGTTTAAAACAAGGAAAAGTGCACTTTTAGATAAACAAGGCAACACAAGTGCATAATAGATGCACTTGTGGTGGTAGAACAACAAAGTTCTTTAAGACCCACGGGATTGCTTGTAATAAAGATTTAAATGCAAAAGAAAAGGCACTAGGAGTCGACTGTTTCTGTCTGGTGAGTGTTAATTTAAAATGTTTGTGATAGCCTACTTTTAACGTAAGAAAAGTAGGCTATATGCTGCTGTGTTTAAATGTGTTGACACGTGCTTGAGCAACTTAATATACAAACCTAGAAGTCAAATGCATGAATAATACATTGTTTATATTTATTGAGTTTAAACTAATGTCTATGAAAGATTGTTACTGTACTGTGATAAAAGAGGATCACAATGCTGAAAAGGCTTTTTCAGTAACAACGTTTGGATTTGAAATCAAGATAATGGATAAATGTTGTGTTTGTGGCCTAAACAGCCACGGATCAGTAGCGGACTGCAAAACCATCCTGTGTGAAAGCACAATGAGTCTGTGCTGCTTCTGCACCGCATACGTAACGCACATGGACCGCATGCAGACGGAGTATGTGTGAAACAGGCGTGAGTATGTGTGATATTAACTATATCAGATGATATAAATATAAAAGGCATATAAAAGTCATAGGGGAGGGGGGCATTTTGCCCCATTATCTTGAATTTTGGGGGAATTATAAATGTATTTTAATGGACTAAATTGCACAGAAGTCTGACCTACATCTCACAGCATATGCGTGCACTCCCTGGGAGTGTTTTTGTTTGGTTTTTGCGATATACTTGATAATGTCAAATCGCATTTGTTTAAACAACAATTACAATATTATCGTAAACAATATATATCGCACACCCCTAGACAGGGTTTTCATTTTTGGGGGACTTATCCCTTTAAATATCTTTAATGTAGTTCACTACTTTTAGAGGAATGTGTTGTGATACTAAACTAAGTTTTAGTAGTCACTTTACATCAGTACTTTGAATAATAAGTAGCTTAGTAGTTTAGCAAGCTACAGTTTCAACATAGCTTCCCCAACACTGGTAAGCACTGTACACAAAGACATAGTAAGAAGGGAGAATTATCTGCCCATCTCTCTGCCACAGATCTCTTTCGTTTTCTCATCCTTATTCTGTCACAATTTTTCTATACAAGCAACTCTGTCCTTTTCTTTCTCTTTCTCCAATTCAAGGCCTCATTTCTGTGTAAAACAAAAGTCTGTCCTAGTGTCTCCCACACGGCATTCTTGAGATTGCAGACTGTTTTGGTCTCTCGTTGTCCCTAATCAAATTCCTTTCCTTTCTCATCCTTCAACGCCACCGAGGGAGATAATCCCTCTATCACGCAGAACTTAAGATCGTCTCGTGTAGAATAGGAGTCTCTTGGAGGACGGAAGAGTTTCATAAACTCCTTTCCCTTTAGTTAGTAGTTTGTATTCTAATGGCTCTACGGCCCACAGAGCGTAGGCTGCACTGTAATGAGTGCAATCGTACAATCTGTCCTCACAGGATTCAATCACAACGAGAACAGGATTTTGGACGTGAGAGCAATTCAACAAATCTTATTTCCAATTTTGAAACAAATAAAGGTGAAAGGCAAAAGTAAAGAAAGATTCTTAACAATTCTTCGTTGAAACTCAGTTTTAACCTATTTAGTTTCTGTATTGATCATGTAGGATACATTTCGTACATACTAAACCCTTGAAGAGATAATCCCTCTATCACGCAGAACTTAAGATCGTCTCGTGTAGAATAGGAGTCTCTTGGAGGACGGAAGAGTTTCAAAAACTCCTTTCCCTTTAGTTAGTAGTTTGTATTCTAATGGCTCTACGGCCCACAGAGCGTAGGCTGCACTGTAATGAGTGCAATCGTACAATCTGTCCTCACAGGATTCAATCACAACGAGAACAGGATTTTGGACATGAGAGCAATTCAACAAATCTTATTTCCAATTTTGAAACAAATAAAGGTGAAAGGCAAAAGTAAAGAAAGATTCTTAACAATACTTCGTTGAAACTCAGTTTTAACCTATTTAGTTTCTGTATTGATCATGTAGGATACATTTCGTACATACTAAACCCTTGATAAAATGACCTAATATCTACTAAAATTAACAATGTCCAGGGTATCTCTGCAAACTGTTGACAGCAGAAGTGATCTAACTATCATTCTTTGCCCATGGGAAGTCAACCGCCTTGTTCCGGTTTGTGTCTATAACCTCTGTGCTGTTGACACATTAGTCCCTCAAGGCTGTTTCCCACTCTGTAAGTGCATGAAGGAGGCAGCAGTGAAGACAGCAGCTGTCATAGGCACAAATTAAACCTCATGCCACAGAAAGGTAAGCCTAATTAGAGGAGTAGCATCATTTATTTGAATGGTGGCATATGAGATCCAGAATAGAACACAACAGTCAGGTCATTAGAGAAATTGTTAAAGTTTTTTATTATGAATATGTTAGCCTTAGGGTTATCTATAAGCTAGTGTGCTCCAAAACAATGACAAAATTCGCATTTAGAAGATATAAGCATTCAAAATTTAAGGTGCGTCCCAAATCACGTACTTATGCACTATTCTTTGATGTTTTTAGTATAAATAGCGCGAGTAGTGCGTTCACACTGCAAATTCCAAAAATAAAAAGTGCACTTTAAATACCCGGATGATGCACTTAAATGTTAAATGTTGGACACTTCATGCACTCAACTGTTGCAGTTTTAATTACGTAGTGAAGAGGGAGGGGCTATCAGACTCAGATTATGAATGGCAAAATAACCTTTAATTCATAAAATAAACCTATAATTCATACACTACATGAGTGAGTACATAGTTCATAAGTACATAATGTATGAGTACATAAAGCGTGTCATTTGGGACGCAGCTTTACAGTCTCACTTCCGCCAATATGGATCAACGATTTTGATAACTTCACCTTGCACTTCAGCTTCTAGTCAAACATTCTGCCCAATCAAATGCTTTCTAGATTCTGTAGTGTCCCGCCCCCTACACTATAAATAGACGCTGAAGCTGCAGTTGAAATGGATTATGACACTGAAGACTAATGACTGAAAATTCTGTTTTGCCATCACATTACATTTTAAAATATATTAAAATAGAAAAGTGTTATTTTAAATTGTAATAATATTTCACAATAGTACTATATTGTTGATGAAATAATTGCAGCCTGTGTGTTCTTGTGCAGTTACCATTGTGCTCCCATTACACCTGCACCAACATGACTCTCCTGAGAAAATGTATCATTTTACAACCAGGATACTGAATGTGAATCGAAGATGACAGGATCAGTTACAAACCCTTGAAAGTAGACTGTCCTCCATAT